ATGAACGCACAGTCTGCAGCAACCGCCTCTGCATCTCGGGCTTCCGAGACTCATCATCAAATGCGTCTTCGGAACGTAAGAAACGCTGTCAATCCAGAGACGCTGCTGCAACAGCGAGCGCTAGGGATGCTGAGACACTAGGTTTGTGTGAAATGTTACGAATGCTGCTACCACTGCCAGGTCGAGAGCAGTAGAGACACTGCCAATCCAGGGACGCTGCTGAAACAGCGACCGCTAGGGCTGCTGAGACAACGCTCCGTAGGTCTGTTCGCTATGCTATGAATGCTACCAACACTGCCTGGTCGAAGGCAGCTTTAACATTTGACCGCAGGCGCGCCTGTCAATCCAGGGACGCTGCTGCAACAGCTAAGTCGAGGGGCCCGAGACAGAGCTGCAGCGGGCAACCGGCAATGCCTGCAACGCTGCAGCGACTTCTGCTGCCAGAAACTCCGAGGGCCCACAGACAAAGGCAAACAAACTTTCAAGGGCTGCTACAAACATGGCCGCTTTGCAATTATATCAAACTCCCCAAGCTCGCCGCATACGCCTTGACGGCGACATTCAGCGCCTTGCGGTCGCCCGTCATTATCTGTCTCAGTAGCTTTTTTCGGTCTTTCTCGTCTTTCAACTACGACCCCGGCATTAACTTAACTACGTGTGACGACATCAATGTAGGTCCCATGATCCGCGTCTGCCAATTCTGCAACGCCCGCAAATGTTCCGGGGATCCTGCCGGTCTGTGCTGCTCCTCTGGCAAAGTTTGACTGCCACCTCTGCATGAACCACCTACCCCGTTGAGGGGACTAATAGCCAGCTCCCATCCCGACTACAACCACTTCCTTAAAACAATTAGGCAATACAACTCCTCTCCAATGACCTCATTTGGGGCTCAGGTGGTTCGTGAAGAGGGTTGGATGCCCACTTTCAAAGTACAGGGGCAGGTATACCACCACATTGGTTCTCTGCTGCCTGAGGAGACCTCTACGCCTAAATTCCTTCAACTGTACTTTATTGTATTACAACCTACAGGCCGAAACCCGGGAAGAAACCTAGAAAGAAAATTCGGATTGCCAACACACAAACAGAATGTCTCATATCGAGAATATTCCACATTGAACATGAAGAAAAAATAATTATTTTTAATAATATGTAAAAATCTCCACTTTCACCTGAAGACGGTTGCGAGACCAGACCAGAAACACGTGTCGTGAAATTATGTAAAACAAAGTATAATATTTTTTCTCAATAAATCCACATTACAACCAAAAACGTTTGCGGCACCCCTCTTCTTTTTAATATATATATATATATATATATACATGGCCAGATGATTGCATTTAGCATGAAACAGTATGTTGACTTTGAGTGTTGCCTTTTAATGTGCACTTATATATATATATATATATATATATATATATATATATATATATATATATATATATATATACTAGCAGCATGGCCCGGCGTTGCCTGTGCTTGATTCAAAATCGTACGACTCACACAGCAATCGCTATCACTTGAGTTAAAATATTTTGGCCCTTCCTTTTTTTTTTTAAACGAGTGCCCTTTGCCGTGCTGATGTTGCTACATTCCTTACTTCTTGCCTATCTCACACTGCGAATTTTTTCTAAGCTCTATACTAAACATTAAATCTGTTACGAAAAAGAACTAAACAAAATGAACACAAAACGATCAGCTTTAAAAAAGAACTCGTAACTGGAAAACCGAATGAAAAAGAATGTTAACAACAAATACTTTTTCACACCCAACCCAGTTCTGCGGAATCAAAATCAACGTTGAGTTTAAGCAAGCGAATGAGCCAATTGGAGTAAAGTGCCATGCAGATTTAAATTTTTCCAATTTGTGACGAATGCAGCTATCGATTTTGACGCTGGCCAATAGAATATTTTTGCCTATTCGTGGCAGCCAGCTATAGGCTCTCACTCTGGCCAGTAGAAAATGGCCACAAACTACATGAAAACTGCCATAGAAGCATCAATGGAAGTTAGAAATGCAAAGTCGGTTTTGGCCTTCCCGCTAACTTGGAGCATGTGCATGTAAATTTTAGTACAAATCCGTCGAAAATTGCGGCCGTGCATTCGTTACACACACACACACACAGACACATCCTGCCTTTTATAGATAGAGATATAATGCTGGTGTTAATAAAATAGTGCTCGATGTGTGCGTGTGTGTTGTGTGTGTGTAGAGAGAGAGAGAGAATGAGAGAGAATGAGGGCGAATATATATATCTGATAATTAATACGGACAATTCCAACGAGGATATAAATACAAAAAGAGCTCAATGTAAGAACAGAGCAAATACAATTATGAAAACGGAGTCCTTAGAAATCCATCGGTAATAGTTTATTTCACGGAACCAGACTGTTGTAAAATCTCTTGATCTGATTGTTAAGAATCGATCTGGTTCCGTGAAATAAAATATTACCGATGGATTTCTCTCTCTCTCTCTCTCTATATATATATATATATATATATATATATATATATATATATATATATATATATATAAATTAATATTTAAATTGTTTTGGATTCGGATGGATTTATGTTATATCTTTTGAATAACATGAGGTTATGTATTTAACCGTTTTCATTTTAATTTCTTTTTTTTTTGTATGTTTCTGTTCATATGTTCTGGTTTTGGAAAGTAATAATACTTTCAAGAACGGAGATATTGGAAGAATCTGTAGCGCAGATTAATATTTTGATAATATTCTGAAAAAAAATTTGAAAAACGATAATGTTTTTGCTCTTGCATATAAATAATTGTCACAAAAAATAATCTTACATTTGCGTGGAAAAAGTCCGTCAGAGGGCAAAACATATAAATATATGAAACGAAATAAAACAAAAGCGAAATAAAACAGCTGACAGTTTCCCTGCTGCTCTTGCATGGAATACTTTCTTCTGTACAGTTTTTGGTCTTTTGTGCAATTGTCGAGTAGGCATCGAAAGTCATGCAGATGATTAGTAGGTAGTCGTCGGAACTCGACAAGACAGTCCATTATATATATATATATATATATATATATATATATATATATATATATATTATGTACGAAACAGGCCTGTTTTTTTCTTTTTGACCTCTTTCCGAAGGTGACTGATATCTTGATACAAACTAACTCTTATGCCCCTTATCAAAATGCTCGTTTCCATAGTAATTAATTTTGCAAATGAACATGCTTATAAAGATGCGTAAATTTCAAAATTGGTTATTCTTAAAGTTTCGCTTGAGGATGAAACATGGCTTGATACTTTAATTCAATTTAATTTCAATAATTATACTAAGGTTTTCGGCTCTTTTTGAAACATGAGAACTCTTATGTAGCGAAGGAATCATATTTTTTAAAAATAATTACAATATATATATATATATATATATATATACATAGAGAGAGAGAGAGTGTGTGTGTGTGTGTGTGTGTGAGAGAGAGAGAGAGAGAGAGAGAGTTACGACTTCAACGATTTGAATATATGGATGAGTTGATGTTATTTAAATAGTTGTTTAATGTTACTATACGTTTTGGGAGGATTGCTAAAGTGTTATCTAACTGCAACATTACAACTAACATTAAATCCATAAAACTAATGGAAAAAAGACTTATTGAAGCAATATAAAAAATATATTGATAGATAAATACGAACAGAAAAAGATACATATATCGATAGATATACATACATATATACATACATATATATGGGTAATACTGCACAATCAGAGATAAGCGCATGTAAATATAAAATTGTTCTCTAGGGACAACAGTCTGATTTAATGCTTAAGCACTATCTTCATGAAGATTGCATTCAACTAAGGAACAACCTGTCCACTTATATATATATATATATATATATATATATATATATATATATAGAGAGAGAGAGAGAGAGAGAGAGAGAGAAGAGAGAGAAGAAAGAGACAGACAGACAGACAGACAGCATATATTTCCATTCAAACAGGTTTGGGTAAATAATTTAGACGTATTATGCCTAAATTTAATCCTTTCGAGTCCACGAATTAAGTTCGTGGTGTCCGTAAAAATCGATTAATAGAGATAATACATACATATATATATATATATATATATATATATATATATATATATATATATATATATATATATATATATATATTTAAAAAAAAAAACAGGTAGCCTTAAAGATCCATTGATTATATTTTATTTCCCCAGGAAAGTGATTTTTCGTAGTTCCACAGATCACATTTCAAAGCATAAAAAAAAACATAGGTATATGTATCTGTACTAATTAATAATTATATATATGTATATATATATATATATATATATATATATATATATATATATATATATATATATATATATATATATATATATATATATATATATATATATATATATATATATATATGTATATATAATTGAGACAGAGAGAGATAAGAACAAGTGAGATAGATAGATAGATATGAAGAACATACATGCACACACACACACACACACACATATATATATATATATATATATATATATATATATATATATATATATATATAGGGTGGAATTAAGTCATTATATAGTTACTTACAATAACAACATGTTATGGTAAACAATAGTAAATTAATTCCTGACACTATTCCAAATGCAAACGACCTGCTTCATTTTTTGCTTTTTTTACTATAAGTAACTGTATAGTGATTTTACTGCACCATTGCATATATATCGAGCTTTTTATAACAGGTTAGATAGATAGATAGATAGATAGATAGATAGATAGATAGATAGATAGATAGATAGATAGATGTTATAAACTTTACGTCAATACTACAGCGATTTATAATCACCATTAGACCATCACAGTTGTATATCTGCTTGGGGGAAAAAGAAAGACGACGGTAAATTCAATCAGACATAGATCCCGAAAGAAATTAAATAAAACTGAAATCAATGTTCTAATGACTTCATCGCATTTTATTAGCATTTATCTCAACAATCGGGGACCCATTTTGGGTAGCCGAAATGAATCTCCTCGTTTTCATATTTAATCAAGTTGTACGCATTGCAAACAGGAAGAAATGATCGTCATATAATTGCATACATAAACATTAACTGTACTGGGGCCCAGATTTAGAAAGAAAGACGACGAGAATTTAATATATAGAAATAAATATGTGTGTATGTGAGTAAAGAGTGTGAATTTTTTTGTTATACTTCGCAGGCACTTTATCCGATATCTTCTAAACTGCGTTAATCTTCGGAAGAAAAACGCATTTGGGGAATTAGAATAAAAATAATCTACCAAGTATGGCGCCAGTAAGAGTCGAATCTCAGACAACTGTTTATTATTCGCATGTTGAATTAGCTATGGCTTTAGCTATGTTTGGCACAAGGCAACATAATGGGCCAACTAGTGACGATGGGACGCTCAAAACTGATCAGTGATTTACAATATAAGCTTAGTAAACATCACTCAATGCCAAGTGCCCAACTATAAAGAAGAGTGAGATAGAAAAGTAGAAACAGCATTATTTACATTATTCACACTGTTATCCTCATCTTCATTACCATGTTCACAACGTTTCGGCTTGTGACGGTTACACACCTGGCCCAGGGTCGAATCCCTTGGTTACGGCGCCAACTGTGACGTCGCTCCTCCTGGTCGCTCCTCCTGGTTCCAAGCGTGCCGCTCCAACCCCTTGGTTGGATGATCACCAGCCTCGCCTTTCCCAACTCGCTTCCAATACCTGGTTACTGAAGCAACTGTA